ATTGTTTGTTTTCTTTTTTTTATTTTATCTTTTTGTTTCGGTTTCCATCATTCTCTTGTTGTTTATAGTAAAAGTTGCTTAGCTTGCGGTTTTAGTATATTACAAAATGATTTTAGTGAATAACTTAAACACATTCATAGAGAGTAGTTGTTGTTGTTGTTTTAGTCGGAACTTAGCTCACAATCAAACAATGTATGTAGTTCACAATAGATAAATGATGATGATGATGATGATGCTGCTGCTCAGCTCTTCCTGTTATCCTTTCCTTGAATTCTAGCATCCGGTTCTCATTATCAATTAGTTCAGTATCAAAAATGTCGGTTGTGTCAGACTGAGTATGTGTGTGTGTTTGTGTTTATGATTTTTGGCTGTGTGAGTAGAGGCAACCGCTTGCATTTTATCCTTAGACAGATTGAGGTTAGGTCGAGCTCAGTTTGAGGTTAGGTCGAACTGAATACGTGGCAACTGAAAGAACAAGGGGGATAGGGCGCCTGTGGGAGGTGTAAACTGTGTTTTGTTTTCCTCAAGTACAGTTGCCTCCGTTCACGCAGAGCTCGATTCGGTTGTCTTTAGCTTATGATCAAGTGGAGTTATCCTTCTATCGGGCTTTTCTAATTTACTTTGTTCTCTTTGGGGCTTGAGTTCTACGCTTTTTAATGGGTTGGGCGTGGGTGTGGTTTGGTTTTAGCTATATATATATATATATCTGTACGTTACACCCTATATATATATTTGTATGCATATGTATATGTATCTATGTGGGGTCTCTGTAAATGTTCTTTCATGCAGGAGAGTTATACACAGACACTGATGATGTAGTACCTATGATGTCGGCTATGTTAGTTCACTTTGATTGATGTATGTATGGTATGTATGCTTCTTCCACAGTGTCCTCGTTCTAATTTTCTGCTTCTCCTTCTTCGTCAATATGCAACTTTGCTACTATGGCTAACGACAATGCAACTACAATTTTTGGGGGTTTTCTAACGACACATTTAAATACTTTTTGCAAACTGCTCTACTTTAAAATAGTTTTTGTTTTACTTTACTTTTTTTTTCTCATATGCAATTCGATTTCTGCCTTCTCTGACCACTCCACATCCCTTCGTTTCCTGTTCCCAATTCCGTTTCCCCATTACGATTCCCGTTTCCGTTCCGATAACCATGCACCTCGTTTCCGTTTCCGCCAATAGGCTGCCCAAAAAAGTATGCTACACGTTTTCACTCATCGATCGTCAACTACGTCTTATCCTGTATGGTTTTATTTTGTTTTTTTTTGCCTAGAGTTAGAGTATTTGTTTAGCCTACCCTCTCGATCCTCCTATTGATAGCTATGCGTTTGCTCATTATTGCTTTTACTTTTACGTTATTTCCCATAAATGTATATTCTTTAGTATATATATTTCTCCTCCTTCCGGGGTTCCTACGCTGCGCCTCTCAAGGTTCCTTTTGCTTCGAAAAAATCAAGGTACACACTAAAAATAGTTAGGTTTTGTTTTATCGCTTTAGGTAGGTTGTGTTTTTTTTTTGTTTTGGTTTCACTTCCTCGCTTCTCTCCTCATCTCCTCCGCATCCTTCACTTTCATTCACTTCTTTCGCCTTTCCTCTTCCGCAAAATAAAGACTTTCAATAGAGGGCCTAAGGACATATACACATATCTTGATACTACTAACATGCTACATTGTTCTCGGGGTGTGCGGGTGTACTGGTGTGTGTGTGTGTGTGTGTGTGTGTGTGTGTAAGATGTACTCTGTGTTTGCTGTGTTACTTTGCCACTTTGACAGCATCCAATCTGGAGCCCAGATCCCAGTGGAGGCACTTCTCGAGATGCCTTTGAGTGGACCGACGATGAACAAAAGGTGTCTTTGAGGCATCTGCAGAATATGGGGGAGAGCAAGTTAAACGAGCTAATTGGGTCAGTTTTAAAAACTTATTAGTTTCCTGAATGGAGAGGAGTCCTCAGCTGCTGCTACCTTTTCTTATTCTGGGCTTGCAACACAAAGGGCCAAAAGCAAGGTAAGGCAAAAAATGTAAATTGCTTATCAGGCTGTGTGGATGGATGGTGGATAAAGAGAGCCAAGTGGACTTTGGAGGACCAGGAGTGGCAACAGCAACTTAAAGCTCCATTCTGCATTCCCAAAAAGGGCTCCATTTGGGTTCCCTCAAAAGTTTTTGGCCAAGAAGCCCTCCGATTCATCGGCTTAATCTGGTCAGCTTCGGTTGTAGCTGCAACTCTCTATCGGCTTATATACCCCAAGACACCTTTTTCCGTCCCCATTGCCCACCGGGATGTCTACGTTTTTGTGGCATTTTCAATGTGGTTTTCTGTTTTTGTTTGCTCTTATATTTTTTAGCTTTAGTTAGATTATTTTAGTTTAGCATTCATTTAGTTCTCCCGTTTCTCTCTCTCTCTGTTTACGCTCTGTATAGGTAGTTTTTGAAACTATTTACCGACTTTGTTTTTTATCGTTTCTATCGCAAGTACATTTTCCAAAACCGTTTTTGTTGTTTGCATTTAATTAAATTATATGAATACATTTCATTCGCTGTGTGAGTGTTGTGTTGTGTTCTGTTCTGCTCTGTGTTTGTGTGACTTTCTGTGTGTCTGTTTGCCAGTTGCCGAAACTAATTTCCAATTGGCGAGCCAAAGAAGAAATGTTTTCCTTTTAGTTTCCTTCCTTTCCGCCGCCTGCCTTTGTAATTGTGCGCCTTGTTTTTGCTCGGTTTTCCCGCTCGCCTGCGCTTTCCCGGGCAAGAAGTTTAATTAATGTGGCAAACAAAGGTGAGTGGTGGGGGTAAGGAGGCTAGGGCAAAGTAAAAACGTAAAGGTAAAGGGTAAAAAGTGAAAAAAATTCCCCAGGTTGCTATGACAAAGGACAAAGCGGACGAATCGAAAGCCAAAACTATGAGGACTATGTCGGTTGCTCATCGCTCCTAATTAGACCTAGTTGGGGGCTGCCGGCACGGCTGAAAGACCTGGCATTCAACTGGAAGGAGCCTCCGGAGAGACCAGGGTTTCGGGGGTCCATTAAAAAGTTGCCCGACAAGTGGGAAAACCTCAAAAACAGGATGGCCCATATATATATATATATATATAAAGGACGCGCCTCTAGCTGCAGCAAAGTTTCACTTTTTTCCGCTAACAGGGTTAAAGTTTTTATATTTTTTGTTAGTTTTCGGTATGAGTGTAGTGTATGGTGTGTGTGTGTGTGTGTGAGGCAAACTTTTAATAGTTTAGCGCAAAAAGTGCCTGGCTCTTTTGTTTTGTTTTCTTTCTTATTTTTTTGGTTGCTTGTTTAAATGTTATTTGATTGTTTCAACTTTGCATTTGCTTGCTGCAACTTGCCACTAGTCATAGTTACAGAGCAGTTATCCTAAAATATATGCTTGATTTGTATATATATATATTTATATAGCTTCGATCCATTTCGATCGCTCAAAGGGGGCCATTTCTCTCTTTCGCTTGGTATAAAAATGTGTTTTTGTTGTTCTCGTTATCATGCTTTGCTTTATTTGTTTTCATTACTTTTATTTGTATTTCTAGTTTAATTGTATTTTTAGTTTTTATTTTTTGTTTTGTATAAAATACTCACATTCACATTTACAACTACGAACCACGTAACTACTTATAGATGTATGGTATTGTATATATATATATAGACTTTATAGTTATAGTTATCGTATGTGTATATATATAAATTTACTTTATAATTATGTCGTATGTATATGGTATATTTTACTACTTCGAGCAGATCTTGGCGGCCTCGTGATACATTTCTATAATCCCGGGCGAGTGTGTAGAATCTAGTGACACCATCCAATCCTATGCCTAGAGCTGATCGAGAGTCGTACCTAATCACACACCCTGTATAATGCTTTTCCCTCCTCCTCCTACTGATTTCCCAACCAACAATTCCGCTTTAGTTTCCCCCCTCGATTCCTATTGAGTATTTACAACTTAGATCCTAGCAAAGATTATAGCCTAGCGTGTTTAATTAGTAGAACGACAGCGAGAAGAAAGAGAGGAGGCCGCCGCACTTTGAGTGCGGAAGAGTATTGGGAGTTCTTAACACTTTTTTTTAGTTTACGAGGGAGCAGGTAGTTAGCATTAGGTAACTGAATCGAAATTAGGATTTAAGCGCGAGTGTAGAGTAGCCATGATGGGGTTAACAACAACGTAATGGAAGTGTACAGACAGCTATGCATGTATGGCATTTCATTTGCAATTTTGCGAAAACAACAAAAAATTAAAGAAAAACCTACTTGTGCGGGCTTTTAGTAATTAATTTCCTCTTAGTCTTTACCAAGTCTTTTTCTAAAAATTACTTTAAACTAAATCCCTTTCCTTTGCCATCTCTCCTCCGTCATGACTTTGCTTCCTAAATGGACGTATAAGTTTTGTGTATCATGCTCGTGTGTGATGTGTAATGTGTGTTCGAACTTAGTTCCCACTTAGTAGTTCGCACTAAACTTAACCGGGGGTGGTAGGGTAGGGTACGATAGGGTAGGGATCTTAGGTGAAGGGCCTGCTCCTGCACGCTCCTCTAATGCCACTTGAAGCCATTTCCCCGCTACGATTGTTTCTTGCAATGCCCAACAAAACCCATCATCAGACGCTCAAGCTTCACATAAGTCAGACCCTCAGATGTATACATAGATATCTAAATATAGGTGTGTGTGTGTGTGTTTATGATTTATATCCGTATCCGTATCCGTTATGGTTTAAGGAATGACTGCTCTATATATATCTATATCTATATATCCGTAGTCATGGTGTATATCTATAATATCTGTATCTTTTACAATTTCTCGCTTTCTGTATATTTATATAACGACAACAACAACTAATTATTGCTTTTCGGTTTTTTTTCTCGACATTACTTTTGCTTGTTTTTGTTTTTTTTTATAGTTTTCTTACTTTTTTCAGCTTAAACTACTTTTAAAAAAATCATTAATAATTTACTAAAACTCTAGAACAAAATCAACAAAAGTGTGGAGGGAGTGGTGATGTTAGGGGCGGGGGGAGAGCTTAAATAAGGGGGAACAGCAGGTTTTTCCTGGGGGGGAGGTCACTAAGGGGGATTCGGGGGGGAAAGCTGTTATACGCTAGCTTATTATGAATATTTCATGTTTCACGTTCTCCGCTTCCGTTTCCGCTTTTGCCGCTCGTCCTTCGTCCTTCCTTCCGCTTCTATTTTGTATCTGTAGTAGGATTAAGAGATGTCCTTTATAGTTAGAGAGAGCTGTAGTTGAGTTGCAAGTTCGCTATGTATCCAGTATTTCATTATTTTGTTATAATCTGTTTCTCCTCCATCTGTTGCTTTACGGTTTAAGGTTTACGGTTTACAGTTTACGGTTTAAGGTTTATGGTTAGTTTTAATTTTTTAGTTTATTGAGACGGTGGTGCCTGTGCTGCTGCTGCTGCTGTCCGGTTCGGATCCCCTTTTTGCACTTCCTAGTCCCCTCACGTCCTGAGCATCAGCAGGAGCCACCAGGATGAGGCGCCCAGCCAGAGCAGGCAGCTAATGAACTGCTGTTGGCGCCCGGTGCTCCGACTCAATCCACCATGGACATCGGTCGCCGAGCTGCGACTGCTCCGCGCCGCTCCCTCGATGATATTGTTGTTGTCCAGCTCATGGAGCACCGGCAGCTCGCTGAGATCGGAGGCCGGCGGCGGAGCGGTACGCTCGGTGGGCGGGACAAAGAGGCGCTTGGGCTTGCAGCGCCGATGCTTCTTGTACGTCTTGGTCACATTTATGCTGTAGCCCTCGAGGAACTCGGAGCCCTGTGGGTGCGATAACAAGAAAAGAGAAACGGAGAGACATTAGCGGCTGGATCTGTATATAATAAATTACGACATTAATTAAATTTCTCTTTCTCTTCTGCTTCCCATTTCCAGAGTCCTTGCGAGGCGCGGAACGAGCGAGGAAATTGAAAAGCTTATTTATGCCGTTGACAGTGCAACAAAAACGGGCAAAAGGACCAAGTTAAAGGCGAAGGATACTCGAGGATAGTCTTAGCAAAGCGGAATATGTCGGAATTAATTCAATTTGAAATATATTTAGCTGCAGATAAGGTAAGTAAAAAGTCTTGAAATTTATGCTTCACTTTGGGTCTTTAAATTGGAAGTTAGAAATATTAAATACCAAATACCCTTTGTTACCAAAAACCCTAATCAAACGCTTATAGTTAGAGCCACAAAAACATTTTCCAAAAACACACACAAAAAGAGATGTTTAGGGTAAACAGAGACCCAGCCAAAATAAATTCCTGGTACAATTGCAAAACAATGAAGCTACAGAGCAGGTTCCCAGCTTTCCAACTCCTCCCCTCAAATCCACAGAGCTAGATCCACATCGAAATCCACGTCCACTGCGGCGTTTACTCCTGCCGTTTTCCCCCAGTGAATTCGTTGGCAAATTTGTGTTTTAATTACGCTGAATAAATTTGTGTTTATAAATAGGTTCGGGGGGAGGAGATCCTGGGACTCTCGAGCTGCGGTCAAATATTTTATGCCCAGTCGAAAATCTAAATCTAGCGAATGTCTGCATTTGTGTGCCTCCGCCCGCGGGGGCGGTGGGCGTGGCTGACTTCATAACGAGTGTTTACTAATAATATTATGCAAATCGCGCGACGAGGAAAGAGGACGACGGACGACGAACGACGCTGTTTGTTGTTGAATTTTTGAAAAGGCATTTTGTGAATCGTTTTTCGGCGGGGCGTCGGCAATGGCGAGAGCATAAAAACCTCAAAAAAAAGGTGAAAAGCAAACCCTGAAGTGGAAATCCACGGCTTGACAGGCATACCCAGGTGTGTGTGTGTGGGGCTTGAAGAAGAGTGTGCCTTGTTGCCACTGACAGACATTTTAATTGAAAAGGAATGTGTGTTTGTTTGTTTGTTTGTTTGTTGTTTCCATGGTTCATTCCCATTCAGGTTGAAGTCTCTATATAGAATGTGCAATTTTGTGTTATGCATAAATTTGGAGGCTTTAATTGCTGGCTGCTATGGCCCAGGCCATGGCTTTAGCCGAGATTGACATGCTAATTAGGTGGGTCGGCTTTGTCCTTTTTTTTGGGGACCCCCCAAAAAAGTGTGCTACAATATTTTATATTATGCTAATTAAGGCTGACCCGAAATAAGGCTCGGGGAAAAGCCAGAGGCTTTGGAAAACCAGCTCGAAGCTTAACTTTAGTCATAACTCCCATATCAATCAATCAGTCTCTGAGGCCATTTCCCAGTTGGTTAGGCATTCAACCCCATTGGGAACTAGGCCTTCCGAATCACCGGCTCCAAATTCCTCTCCGAAGGCTTTGTGAAAACTAATCAGAAACTTCTTTGCCTTTGTCACCTTTTTTGCTGCTATATATTTTCCGCTACATTTAACTGCCGTTCACCTTTCTGCCCGAGAACTATAGTATGGCATTTTTTGCTGCTAATTTGGGAGCATCAAGGGTTCGCTTCGCTTTTCCTCCTCCCTCCTTCCTTTTTTTGTTCTGTCGTTATCAAATTCAATGGGCCTGTCCGTCAAGTTGGGGGAGTCCCCGTCCCGAGGATGAGTTCCTCAATGAATTATTGACTAAAGGACAGCGGCTAAAGGAAGACGGAATCGGGCGGCATTTAACGCAATAGCACGGAAAATCGATGACAATTCAAGCGTTGATAATTTTGCCCGAGAGCCGTGGCATAAAAATGGCAACGCTTTCCAACTTAAGCAATTTCCCACAATTTCCACCAGCATTGCTTGCCAAGCTTGGCAAGAGAGGAGCAAGAGCCAGCGTCCTGCTCATATGGGAGCATTCGGTCTAAACCATTTTGGACGTGAATTAGAGCCAGCTGGCCGGGTGAATCGTCGTCGTCTGACTTGGCCCACTGTGTGACCCATTAGAATGATCGTTGTCGAAGTCGTACGTGTGTTGGCCTGATATATGCGACTCAGTTGGGCCAAAAGGGAAGTGTCCGTGGCTCCGAGCTGCCGTAAAGTGGCGCCTAACAAACTCGAACGGAGCGAACGAGTGCCGCTGCCGCCCATGGACGCCGCAATGCAATTGATTGCACTTTATAACGTGCGGTTTCCGGTAGACATTACCCGCATTTTGCCCCAACCAATGGATGTGGCTGTGGGCTGGCCCTAATGTCTTTTCTGCTTTAACTCCAATGCAGTAGCAGAAGCACCAGCACCAGCTCCAGCTCCATGCCCGCCCACAATGAATAAATGAGCACTTGTCTGGGTCCTGTTGGGGGGAAATGTAGGTGGATCCTGGTGCTATTGCTGGGACCATCAAATGGCAGCAAGAAAAATTATCCCAGATATTGTCTAGCAATTTAGCTGATTAAGCTGATGGATGTAAAGCAGGAAAAGGACGAAGACGAGGGCGATTAGGGCGAAAGCCAAAGGAAGAAGGACTGCGCAGATTGAGATGCCCCGATAGATAAAAAGGGTTAATGCGATTTCAGCTGTGACACGATGGGGGAAAAAATCGAAATCGAATCGAAAATCGCCATACTACATACATATATCTTTTTTACTTACCGGCACCACATGATTCTTGGCTCCCCAGCAGATGGGCTTGAAGCTGCCCTTCCGCGTGGCCTCTTGGAATTCACCAAATTGATTCTCCCAATCGTAGGATATCAGACGTGCCTCCAGTGTCATTCCGGCCAATTCCGGTGGCGATGATATAAGCACCGGGTTCGAGTCGCTGCCAAAGATAAGACAAAGAAGAAATGGTCAAAAGAGATCAGAGATTTGGTGGCATTAAACCGAGCAGCAGACGCTAAATAACATTATTAACTTTATTATTATTGTCAACTTTGATTAGGACTTAAAATTTATTGCGTTTGCTGAGAACCATCATCCCCCGAAAAAAGCCGCTTTGCCAGCACATTTTCAACTTTTCGCCCCAAAAAAAAAATCTGCTTAAAGGCCGGGGCCAAGGACCCCTGATCCCTTCTCCCGGTAAGTCCTGGCAGATTTGCGCTGGGATTTTCCTCCGGGGAGGCGCGCGCGCTCAACAAAAACTTGAGCTAATTAATCTTTTAGATTTTCATTTGTGACGCGTCAAATACGTTGTTACAATTTCGGTCTGCCAAAGCGAAATAAAAACCGCACACGGAGCAAGGAGCTGGAGCTGGAATCCTGCTGGGGTTGAGAAAAACCTAACAAATGGGCCAAAAGTGTAAAAACCCCGGCTGGCAATCAGTGGCGTAGTCTGGGCCGGAAGAGTAGTCGAGGGAGATGACTAATGGATTGGCTCATGGAAGTCATTTCTGTGGCTCTGTTTGTTTGCTGATTATTCAATTGTGTCAACCCCGCTGCAGGACCAGGCAGGACCTTTTCTCCTATATAACAAATACGTATAATTTGGCTGTTTAATTTGATTTCTGTTTTTACTCAGGATTTGCCATTTATCAAGTGTCTTTGAAAGGCTTCAAAGCGCAAAGCCAAGACGCCTCGGGCGCTTTTTATAAATATTTTTTACTTGAACTGATTTATGGTCATTAGTTGGCATCTGATAAATAAATGGGATTTTACTTAAAAATAAATAAATAAATTACTGTATTAGATTTTGGCGACCTTTAATTGATTTAAGTTCTCTTTAAAAAGTTTCTCAAATTTTCTATTATACTATATCTAGTACAATTTAATTGTTTTCCCTACCACGTCCAACAAAATAATTTGAAGGGTTTCTAGAAAATTAGGTTATAGTTTTTATATAATAATTTTTCAGTATTCAACGGAGTAAACTAGTAGAACTTACAAGTAGAAGTTAGATCCTTTAGACCTGTTAAGCTTTTGGCAACACAGACTTTAATCCTTTTATAATTCCATGACTTTATATCCGATTTATATATTTTAATTTCATAAAATTAATCCGAAAGTAAGAACTCTAAAAAAAGGATCTATCTACAAACCCTATTCTGTGAAACGAATTATATTTTCTAATCCCATTTTCCGATGCAGTGATCCTTGAAGCTATAGCCTGTTGGAAGTTAATCCCTGCAGCTGCTGTGCTCACCCCTCCTCGATGCACTGCCATGGATAGGACTGTGTTGTGTTGTGCAATATAAATTCCTTCTCTATATATTCATCTCGACTCATTCATTCATTCCCTCCTCTATTCATTCATTCATTTCGACTCGTTTCGTTTCGTTTCGTTTCGTTTGGTTTATACTCAGAGCTTGGTTTTGGTTGGCTCAGCGATGTCTGCCCCGCGACGTGTCCGTCTGCCCGCCCTTACAATTAGGCTAATTAATTTTGTTCTTTGCCGGGCATTACGAAAAATGTTGCTTTAATTTCATAGAACCCACACACACACACCCACACAGAGAGGGAGAGGAAAACGCACATTTTCTTTGTGCCATCACTCTCTCACTCCTGCAAGTTGTTTTTGTCGGCTGGCAGAATCCTTTGGAAGCCGCAAACAAATCTCTTTTAATTAATTTATGATTCCACTCAATCCGCATCGAGGGTTGTGTCTGCGATAGTCCTCTCTCCGAGTGGCTGGCAGGATTGGCAGGGGGTTGAGTCCTGCGGCGAGTGAAGCAGGAGAAGGAGTCAGGGGGGTGGAAAGGAGACTCTGACGGACTCTGGGAAGTGCCGCTGCAACAGCCGCAACAATTTGCGGTTGGAAACACGAAAAATATTAATGTCTGCGGATTGATTGCAAAATCTTCCCCCTTTCCCCGCATCTCTAATGGCCATGTGCGATGGCCACTTGTGCGAGTCCGCCCCGCATTTCCACAACCATGTCCATGTCCATGTCCGTTTCGGTGTCGGTGCGGTCCGGATCCATGTCCTACGGCCCGCAATAATAATAATATAAAATAATATATGACCCGTCTCCGTCCATCTGTTTTGTGGCAGTGCAATGCACTGAGGGAAATTGGAAACTTAAAAGATTAGGTCTGGGTTATCAAAGTTAGATGACTTGAATACACTTTTTATGATCTCAAAAGTCAGGGAAAAACTGTCTTTCAGAAGTACTTTTACTACAAATCTATAAACTATCATAAAACCCTTTTAAAATGTTTCTATATTTGTTCTTTTTGTTATAAATATAGCTGCATTATTTGCATTTCTCGCAGTGCATCTGCATTGCATCCTCCCTTTTATACATTTGGTGTTTTGCGGTTCATTCGTTGGGTGTTTTGAGGGGTGTTTAAGGAGAGCTAAAAGCCAAACCCGAGAGGGGTGCAAGGTTCGCTGGCTAATATATCCGGCCTGCATATGACTGTGACCCGTGACCTCCGCCCCACCCACGTGCTCTCGCACATATAATAAATATAAATGCAGTGGAAACTCACACAGATGTTGGTAATGTAAAAAGCAGGATAACATCCTGTAGTCCTGCCGAGTGGACCCCGCCCAGCACTCAGCACTCCACAACTCGCCACTCGAACGCCCCCGCTGTGTGCGCGCATCAATCGCTGGCGTTTTAGCCTTATCGCCATTGACTTCATTGGCACTCAGTATAATTAAAATGATGGCCCAGCAGTGGCAGCAGCAGCAGCAACAGGAATCCGGCCAACTAGCCAGAAGCAACATTTGGCAGGACAAAGGATCTGCTCGTAAATTCGGAGGTGGGAGAGCGTCACTGGTTTGGCATTGTTGATTATAAAATCCAATGGCACACATCACACAATGCCGAAATGCATTGCGAGCGGAACCAGGCTTCAGGCTGGACTGGATTCATGGACCTCCTGCTCCTGCTCCTTCTGCTCCTGCTCCTACTGCCATTGCTGCACTTCTACAGTATATATCCATGGCCATTTCCACTCCAACTTCCAACTGCAATGCGCCCGGCAATGGGTTTATTTATGTAGCGTTATGACGACGGCGCAATTCCACAAAGGAGGGGAAAGGATGCAGGGGCGTGGCCCCTACCAAGTATGTGTTGTGTGTGTGTGTGTGTGCGTGTGTGTGTGTGTGTTCAGGGTTATGGACTTTTGGGTCCTCCTGCTCGCATGGGGGCAAAATTCAATTTTGAACTCGAATGCAATTGCAATTGGCATAACGGCCAAATGACCGAACGTTCCTGATGACAAATGAAAACTAAAATGGCAGGGGCCAGAGGGAGCAGAGGGAGGTTGGATCGGAAAATTGATATCTGATCAAGCCATCCATTAAAAGTCAGTCAAAGAAAGAGAAACTGAAATCATTTCAATCTTAAACGGAAGCTAAATGCATATAATAGCTTCGAAAAACAGAGTTTATTGCTAGTTTAAGGCAGACTAATGTTTTAATATGATTTCTGCTTTTCTTTTTATTTAATTTAATATTTTCAATCCCTTGTTTTAGCTCAGAAATGAGATTGTTTTACTGTGATGCCTTAATGACTTGGCTATCAAGAAGTATCCCCTTAACTTTTAACAAGATTCCCTTCTCTCTTTAACCTTCACATTAATTAACCCAACAGTAACTTTTTGCCCAAGCTTGAAAGCAAAAAGTGTATAAATTTAATAAGATGAGCAAACGAAGCCCGGGAAATATCGCGTTGGATAATTGCGATGAGCCACGCAAGAGTATCGATAACAAAGCGAAGGCAAAAGACTGAACCCAGAAGTCAGAAGGCGGTCGGAAAAGCGGGAAAATCGCTGGAGCGCGCGCGTGTGTGTGTGTGCCATCCGATATGCAAAGAAGACGATGGAGAAGAAGTCATAAAGTAATAAAGGATATCATGAGCCTTAATGAGACTCCCTTCACGGGGCCTTTTCCCAGGCATACAAAGAGGATATCTATATCACTCACAGCCCCAAACAATTAACGAAAGCTGCGACCCAACGGCAAGCACTATAAAATGAAGCCAATTTGCGTAGCTCAACAAACAGAAAACGCCAATAAACAAAAGGGAAACAACTGGCAGGAGGCAGGACACTGGGATAAAGGACGCACAAGGCTGGACATTGGGAATGGGAATGGGAATGGAATGGGAGTGGAAATGCACACAACTTGAATAATTACTTTGATTTTAATGCCGGCACCAGATCCAGGCCAGTGGCGAGGCAGACACAAACGCACGTACAATTAAAATTAATTTCAGTGGCCATGGCAAGTGCGTAAATTGTAAAAACCACTATCACATTATTTTTTCTGGTTTTACCCGCCGCTTTCGTTTCGTTTCGTTTCGTTTGGTTTCATTTCGTTTGGCGTTTGGGGAAAAGCGTTGCCAAATGGTCATCGGTCCTCTCTGCCCCTCTGTCCCGGAAAAATCAGGCAACAAAACCCCAAAACGTAAAACGTAAATTAAGCCAATAACGGGGGCAATCCAGACCGGGCATCGTAGCGATTCAGGAATCACAGAATCCTGGCCAAAAGGACTCGTGGAACGGAATGAACCTGTGTGGGAGGAGTAGCAGTAGGAACAGGAGTTGGAGCAGGAGCAGGAGCAAAAGCGGAAGCGGATTGGGCGCATGATCAATGAAGCTCAGCGGGGCAGCAGGTGCACAGTGAGAAAGAAGTGTATCTCAGGGCAGATGGGATAACTTTTACAAGGATAAATAGGAGGTTAAAGGTAGCTAGGAAGACTGTGCTGAGACTCTTATTAATTAAGGCTATGTAAATCTCATAATCACAATTTATGCAACCGCCTTAAATGAGCAACTCACTTAACTCTCTGTCAGACTGCGTTTTCTCGCTGTGCTGCATTTCTCCATTTCCCGGTCAGACAATGTCCTGATGTCCTGCCAGCCTCCAACATTCAACCCTTTGCACTCCACAATCCACACTCCCTACTGCACTCCTCCACCTCGCATTGCATTGTGTGTGCTTTATGTCCTTGGGCCCCGACGCACGCTAACGACTTCAATGAGTTTTGCATGATGATGACGACGACGACGACGACAACGTTGTCCAGCCTCCCATCCTGATGGGCGCCCCATAATTCTCCCCTCCTCCTTCCCACATCATCATCATCATCATCACTCTTCCCCTGTGGACGTCGTCATCATTGTGTCGCAAAAGTCCAGCTCTTCGTCTGAGTGTATTTCAGTGTGTGTGTGTCGGTCAATTGAGCCACAGTTGAACTGCAAACAATTTTGGAAGCCCCTTTGCAGCGTACACTTACCGAAAATCTGTGCGTATCAAATTAAATTGAATTTCAACCACAATAAGCATCACAGATCACAGGCTCCAACTGGGTGGGATACAGGTGGTGGGTGACGCTTGGAAGGATGCTGGTTTGGCATTTGCAAGTGGCTTATAATTACATTAGTTGCAGACCAATTGAGCCTCAATTTGGCAGCCATGGCTGGTGCTGCTGCTGCTGCTGGCTACAGGACCTGTGTGCATCATTAGCTTATCATTCAACGTGGCATTCCGAATCGCAATGGAACTGAGGGGAGGAGAGCCACTGGTTGTTATATATATGACCAGTGTGGTGTGAACCAGATGATAAAAACCATCAATATTGTGCCAGGATTTTATTGACAGTCGATTGAGTGGGTTTCTTTAAACATTTGGATAGAAATCTAACATTTAAAGCGGTCGAAGTTTACTTTATTCCATTTTATTCAAAGTTAATAGTTCAGGAATCGAAATGTTTCAATTCAAGACTTTATGTCCTTTTAAACTTAGCCTAGTTTGCTTTAAAATCACAGCAACTATGGACCCCCGATGCTTTTCCATAATTAGAATTAGCAAATGATATTGCAATTGATGGAATTAAAACTCCCCAGGAGTTGGGGTATATTTCGAGTGCATAACTGGTAACTGTAACTCTATAATTCAACCACAGATGCGTTGTTCCCGTTCCATTGATAGTTCAATGTTATTGTTTCGCCCATGTTCGTTTTCCATCATTGTTTAATTAAACCTGAAGCGCACAACATGCGGTACCTGCGGGCGATCTAGACATAGAACAAATAGGAGCCGCAGTCCTTGCCACGCCTCATCGCTTTCATTCCCTCCTCCGAGGAGGTGGAGGAGGAGGTGGTTCCGGGTTATGTTGCATTTCCATCACCCCCAATCCTCCCCCCAATTGAATTCGTGTTCGTTTGTTGTCGTTCGGGTTTTCATTATGAATTTTAATCCTCATATCGCATTCGCACTTTCGGTTGCAAGAGCTCCAGGCTCCCCGGATCCGGACTTGCAACCCCATTCCGGGGAGCAGAGGCCGGCTCAGGACCGTAGCCGGACATTAAGCGCTACAAAATTGCAGTGGCCATAATAACTGACCGACAACAATAACAGGAACAGCAGCAACAATGCAGGTGCAGGGGCAGGGAGCTTTGTATTAAACAAACAACAACGAGCGCGTGAAGCAACAATAACATGGAGCGGAGATGGTCCGAAACGAGGCCTGAACCCGGCCAGGACCCGGACCCGGACCCAGGCCCGCCCCGTAACGACAGACAATTGCAAATGACTTTATCAATTCATGTCGATTTCGGGTACACGCAGTTCAGTTCGGATCTCGTCGGACAACGGCAACGGCAACGACAACGACGACGAGGATGAGGATGAGGGGCGTTTTGGGGTCCATGGAGTCCATGAAGTCCATGAAGTGGACAAAAGCCAATGCCTGGGCCTCCACCCAATCACTTGCAACAAAAAGCTGTAAGCAGACAATGTCGTTTGTTGATGGTCCCCGAACTACGATTGTTCGGGTCACATTATGCGTTGGTGTATTATGGATTCAGGTGTTGGAGAACTCTCTTAAGGAAAATACTGTCGGAAAAGGGATCGAACTTGGAAGTCCACATTCTTCTTGTGAATATTTTAAATAAGTACTTTCCATTAAGGTTTTACAGAGAAATATTTGAAATGGTTTTAGTTACAACTTTCTCATAAGTGACATATTAATTAAATTATCTAAACAAGAGCCCAAAAATTAGCAGGTTAATGACTTAAACCCTCTTCTGAAATGCTAAACCCCTTGAAACCCTACAAATCTCTTGCGAAGCAACACTTTTAACAAATGCTTTCATCTTAATGTAATCCCAGTGCCATCCCTTTCTCTGTAACTCATTTACGTGGCCATGTTTTCCGCTCCTTAGTTCACCTTTCTGCCCACGCAGACCTTAATCCATTTATGCCGTTTACTTTGATTTGCGGTCCCAAAGAAAATTATCTTTGATTCGATTCGGACCGGGCCCTGTGTCAATAGGAAGTGATTAATAGAGTGTGCCCAAGGTCCTTGCCAAGGATTCTGGTTTAATTTCGACTAATTTTCAGCGCACGCTTTAATACAATATTTATGGGGGACCTGATTGATCCTAGTCCAATGATGGGGGGCGGGACCTGCACTCGAGGAGTCAAGTGTGCAGGATGCGGGGTAAAGGACTCTGAATGGACCTCCAATGGCGGCTGACTGATGGCTGAATGCGAGAAGGAGCGACTGGTGCTGGTGGTTGGGTCCCTGTTTATTTAGCACTTGACGTTAATAGAAATCAATATTTTCTAAATAAAAGCGAGGTCGTGGGTGCGCCGCAGTCTCGTAATTTATTTTTCCACATTCACAATTCTCAATTAGAGCAGAGCCAGAGCCAGAGCCGGGGACAGAGCCGGGTGCAGTGTGCGCTTGCTCTCAGTTCATTTTCCGATTGTTTGTTAGGCAAATACTTCAGAATGGAGAATACCCCGAGTGCGGAGGCAGCCAGGAGAATCCAACCTCCTGAACCCGCAGCCGTCATCCTTGCCGCACCTCCCCTACCTCCTTTTCCGGTCCTTGGTCTCTCTTTGGCTGAGTTCGTTAGGTGATTTGGTTATGCAACAACATCATTAAATCACCAATTACTTTAGTCAACAGAGGAATAAACCGAATTTCCTTATACACAAGCCAAGTCCCCGACAACGTCGAGTGTCGGCGGAATGGCCAGGACCTGGCAGGACCAGGACCTGCTGCTCCCAGGTCGAGAAAGTGGTGTATGCAAGGACCAGAGAAGCTACAATGGCTCCAAATTGAATGTGAATGGCGAGCAAATTGATTTGTGCCAAGAGAATGCTGTTAGTTTTCAAAAGCTTAAACTGCAGCAGTTTGTGTCGATTAATTAGTCACCAACTTTACGTATTTATATATATTCTTTTTGAGAGAGATCCTGAATGCCCGAGAGAAGGTAGCTAAAGCCAGTGACCATCACCCATTGCACAGTAATCGATCAATTGGCGTTCGTTTTCCCCTTGGTTCCTGATACATATTCTTAATTCGAATGTGTCAATTTTCATTAGCTTCGCTCTGGTTCGGCAACCGGATACGGAAACGGGCTCCGTCTCCGGCTATGGAATGCTCTCGTCCATTGAGGACTACCATGCAATTTTGATGAGACAGAGCGAGGAGGAGGAATGGAAATAAAGTACTTACGTTGCCAGCTGCTCAATGCCGAGCGAATGCAACACTGTGGGCAGACTCGGCAGTGAGTGACACGTTGTCAGCTTCTTCTGGCGCGGATAGTAGAGTGTCAGCACGGTGCAGCTTTCCTCCTTCATGGTGAGTCCACCTGCAAAGAGACAGAGAAACGGGAATCAGACGAAATGCATAAGAAATGCGCCTGTGAAAAACAAAAGCAACCCGAACCCTCGAACCTTCCCCAATGCCCGTGGAATGCCAAAAGGACGTTGCTAGCCAGGTGTGGGCCCCTTGGTCCTCTGGTCCTCTGTGCTCGCAACAAAGGATGAAATTAAGCGGCCGTTGCAGTTGGCAGAGCAGTAAAACAGCCAAGGCGCCATCATAATAATATTGCAAAATGGAGACAACGTTGATGCTGATGGCTCGGAACAGAAGCGTCGCGGGTATTGCTTTATTTGAGTTCCAGTTGGGCAACGCTTTACGTTTCGCTGCCTCACTGCCTTGCCTTAACTTCCACGGATCCATCTCGTTCCGTACGGTTGCAACATCGTTACGTTTGTCTATTACTACGACTCGGAGTGTCTCCATTGAGAGTTGTCATCCCACCAAAGCCCACTCCTTTAGTCCCCTGTTTCTTCTCGCCTGCTGAATTGTGTAGATTGTGTTTGAATTTGTGCAAGCAAGCAAGAAAGTCAAATTTACGTTAGGTGCTATTTTCTGTACCCCCTCGTTGGCAGTGAGGAAAAATATGCAGTGGAGCGTTTGCTATTTACGACACTGAAATGAGTTTTATGGTACTGGCAGTGAAGTATTACAATAATGTAAGTTCTTGCAAAGGGATACTTAAATCCCTTTGAGATAATTTTGGGAAATTTTACGAAATAATGAAGGAAATATGTACCTTATTTCAATTAAAGCGAGAGTTTTCTTTACATTATCTCAGAGTAAAAAACTATTGAAGTTTCAGTACTCTGCCCTTCTCTGCACTTCTCATGAAACTGAGTGACTAAGAAATGTTGCTTCGCCCTCCATTTCAGTATCCTTCCAAATCAGTACTTTCCATTATCGTTGTCCTGTTGTGGCAGCTTCACATTTTGCCATCTTCCACTATTCCAATCTCATTAATAACAACCTCTATGCAGTCTGAAGCAGTGCATTGTCCATTTCGCTAGAGTCCCAAGCAGCAGCTGTCACAGCAGGAGGAGCAGCAGGAGCAGCAGGACGAGCAGGACGAGAGCAACACCCACAATGCCTCAACACCTGCACACACACACACAGCTCAGCTATCCGTGTGCTAAGTGAAATGTTCCACTGTCTTGGTTTATGTATTTTACAATGACGTGGCTGCTCCGTCTTTGCTCCTTTGTCTTGGGCCTTCGTGTGCAAGGATTCTACGGTCTGGTGTGGTCCTGTCGCATATCGTTTGGCTGATTTAAATGTGTCATAACGACGATTGCTCACCGTTGCCACTGCTGCCTGTTTACACAACTCCCACTCTCTTTATGTTTACGCCCCAGTGCCACCAGCAATTTTGAAGAACATTTTCGCTCACGACAATGTTGCTGGGTCGCCTTTGGCTCCTTTCTCCTTTCTACAATTTACTGAAATTTTTTGCAATCTTTATGGCTGTGTTTGGTTCGGGTCTAGAGCTATATATATAGTATATATATGGACTCCCCGAGCACTTACCCAGGGTAATTGCCTTTCGTGACGAACTGTCATAAATGCATTCGGCGATGAGTCTATCCCCGGGCAGCGAGTGCACCGATTGTGGCAAACGTCGAAAGTCCTGATAGGCCACGTCTATATTGCTGTCGTGTGCAATTGGCGGCAGCTCCTCGGTTTGTCGTATCTGGGGAAAAGTGAATGGAAATGGAAATGGGAATGGGAAAGGAAATGGGGATTAGGAGAAAAAGTTTGCTCATTAGCATTGCATTTTATATTCAATGTCCTGGCAAAAAGGGACAGCTCCCCGTGACACTCACCTGTCGTAGCTTAACCTCCTTGCCGATCTGATGGGTGCGCATCATGACCGCGAAAATGTTGATGCCCTGCGGAGGGAAGGCATGTGCCGTGCAATCCTCGATGCACTGTCCCTCGGACACGACCCTTCGCTGTCCCGGTGGGATGATGTGCCTCCAATTGGGGTCCATTCCTGCAGAGAGAGAGATAGAGAGAGAAAGGGATGTGTTCAGTTTCAGTGCTTTTAATTAACGGTTTGACGGAAGCGATGCTAAAAGCTGAAAACCGCTACGGGAGTAAACGTAAAACGTAAAACGTTACGTGAACGCGAGGAATGCTCACCAAAAAAACCCCAAACCTCGTTATCATCGCTCATCAGTGTCCTCCCCCCCCCCTACTCGACGACACTCTGTTTAACTTTGAACGTTGATTTTTTAATTCGATTTGTCGCAGAACATGTAATTACATTTTAATTGCTGCTTTTGATGTTTTAACAACTTTTGTCAATGCAGTCGCGAGTGTACAGAGCCCATATACCAATTCTCCCCATTCCCCTCCCACATCCATATCAATTAGGGGACATTTCCTTCTTTTCAAAAAGAAATTGCTTGAAAATCAAATTTTGCATTTTTGAATTTTTAGGGCGCTTTCGCTCTGGGTTTTTGGTTTTGGCCCTCGTTGGCTCAATTAGTTAAATGTTGTGGAATATTGTTCATACACAGGACCCCGCATGTTGTGTCCTGGGGCCATTTCCCCCGCAGTTTTCCTCCCTCCTCCCTCCTCTCTCCTCCCACCACACACACTCAATTAGGGCCGCGTGTCGCCTGCCATGTTGAAAAAATATTTGAAATTCATGTGCTACATATATAAATGGCAGCTCCTGCTCCTGTTCCCGCTCCTGCTGCTGCTCCTTCGCATCCTGGGTGAGCCTGCTCCCTGTTCAGTCGCTTGGCATTTCAATTGTTGTGCGTGGGAGTCAGAGGATTGGGAAATCGGGGGAGGAGGAGGAGCTACTGCTGCTATAGTATGCCAATCAAAATACTCGCGGGAAATACTTGGCATCGCTGGAGGAGCCCCATTTCTGAATTCAGCCGGCAATTGATTTCCATTTTCTGTTTCCAGTCCATTCTCGTAAATCTGGGTTTAAATGTTGCTTGAATCCTTTTTTTCCCTTACAACTCGATTACGGAAATTACTCGAGTCTATAACTGCAAACTGATTGAATATTGAGAAAACTCCTGCGAATGTCCTTCATACTTTTTTATTTAATTATCTCAAGACCCAATGATTTTATTTTATAATCTCAAATTGATTTTTTCTCTTTTCGAAATCTGATCAATTTCCCGTCGACAGTGTGGCCAATTATGTGACGTGAACCCTTTTAAATATTGAATACTGCAATTCCAGATTAGTTTCCAATTGCATTAATTTTTTGTGTCACGCTCTGTAACCATTTACCATTTATTTTTACGCCTTTTTTCCGCAGATATATTCGATATTCGATTCAGGCCGGCGACCTATTTTCTGGACAGCCTGGTCCTTTACCCCCGATCTGGCTTATCCTTTATAATCCCATTGAACCTACGTAAAAATATTAACTTTAAAGCCCTTTTGCATAAAATATCCATTTTGGCTCGCCGATGTGCGGTGTGTTTTTCCTTTTGGAATTTAACAACCTCAACGGGCAGAGAATATTACGTAATGAATTGAATTTTTAACCCCCCTTTTCAACCCCCTTCAAACCGACCAACTATATACATATGTATGTATATAGGAAAATATATGTAAATTTGCTTTGCATATTTGTTGCGGAGATTATTTCTATTAATTTTCATAGTCGTTGCCCGTTGCGAAATGGGACTTTTTGGCTTTGTCATGTTGCTGGGAATCAATTTTCAATTACCCAAAAATATTGTTTAACTATGCCGGCCGTGTTGGCTTTAAAATAAAACTTTTTAGCCAACTTTCTGGTCATTTTACAAAATGTCACGCCAGAGAAATCAATCAATCTAACGTGCTAGCTGACTGGCTGACTGCCTGACTGGACTTTTTGATACTCAAATTCTCTTCTATCATCAATTTAATTGAAAATTACGATTCATGCGTTGCCTCCTTGGGGCCAACTTTGGACGGGGACTTTTGGGAAAAGTTTTGCGGCCATCGTTTAATTGATTTCCATTAACTTTCAATTCGATCAGTCCATTTGAATATTATCACAGAGAGCAGACAGAAGCGACCGAGAGCTCTCGCTGTGAAATTGCCGGCCATTCGAGTGCCCAATTCCAATTCCAATTCGTGCGGATTCATTTCATTTCCATTTCTGTCTCTGTGCGAATTTCCATTCATTAAATCAAAATTCAATATTGGCCAGGCGAAGCATGACGGAATGGCCATGAGCATGGGAACAGGACGAGGGTGGCCCTGGCTCTATTTCTATTTGATTTTGGCCCAAAAGCACGATGGGGACAAGCTCACAATTCATAACTACACATATTTTACAAATCGATATTTAACGCTGCCGCATTCGCTCTCTCTCTGTACTTTTGGCAGTTGCATGTTGACAGCCAGCACACGGCGAATAGCAAATGCCGAATGCCGAATGCCGAATGCCAGAATGCAATGCGATTGCAACTTTTCTAATTATTTTAAATGGCAATTTGTGTCAAAGCGTCAGCTCACTCACTTTGTGTCCCAAATAAAGAGAGAGAGGAGAGAGGGACTACCAACTACCGCCCGGCAGGCGAAACAATTTGATTAGCATCCAATGACAGAGCCACAGATATCGCCAATATATACTACAAACATACTACCAATAAAAACGTATTTTTTGTTTAATTTTGACTCACTGAGGAGGTACTTGCCTCGGTAAAATCACATTTGATAAATTCATTTCTGGGTTAGCATCAGTTCTGTGGTATGCAAACTTCAAGAGGATTTTGAATGTGATATGGTTTTCCACATATTTTATAATAGATAAAGCATTTCTAAATTCCAGTGAAAACTAAGGGGGTTTCCGAGGAAACTAACTGGAGAAAAGCTGAAGTTTGCAGTTTGCATTTGAATTCTACCTTTACATATCATAACTAACCTTCAAATATTCCTATTCTTTGGATCAATATTTATCGATATTTTATACGACAAATTTATCGACAAATCAAAGTTAAAAAAACTCATACTTAAGCCAAAAAAGCCTTAATTTCAATTCGGAAAGCTTTCCTATGCTAATTTTGAATATATTAACAAATCTGCATACTCAATTTATAATTTTAAAAAATTCTAATTTTTGGGAATTTTTCAAAATTTTAATGATGTAACCCCTTGTAAAATTTTGAAATTTTGAAAAAATTAAAAAAATGTATTTTTTGACCGGACATGGATAGATCGATTCGGCTGTGGATCCTGATCAAGAATATATATGATTTATAGGGTTGGAAATGATGCCTTTACTGCGTTTTAAGCTTGTGAAATAAGAATACTCAAAATATATGCAACTAAAATGTTTAACAAAGATTTCGAAGTCACAAAAATAAGTTTCAATAAAAACTTTACCTTCATTTTTCCTAAATAAATCCAGCTTAAAATACGTTTCAATAAAAACTTTACCTCCAGTTTCCCTAAGTAAATCCAGCTTATAATTCTTTTTGTTAAAACAATTTACAATACACCCACAAAATAAATCCTGCACAAGCATATTCTATCGCATTTGAAAGAAGAGCATTTGAGAAATTCCGAAACAATATTTCTCGCTCTCCCTGTGTGTGATCAATGAATGGATGTTGTACAATGTACACTCGCTTTCCGATAAGCCTTGAGCTGCCGATTACAATCCCCAAGCTGGCTTAACGTGTCCCAAACTCATTTGTTTCGCCATCTTTCCCCAGCTTTTTTCAGCATCCCCGCCCATTTCCATCTCCAAGGTGCCATAAAAATTCGCCAAGCCGCAACATTAATCACAGATTCGTTGCATACACCAGGGCGCTATATCAATAACCAATTAAATTGAAATTAAATTTCGCCGCAGCCAGCGAGACCGGAAACGTAGCAATTTCGCAGCTACTTATGCGTGAGGGACCCGGGAGAGCTTTGGCTGAGGCTTTGGCTTGGAGCTGGAGCTGGAGCTGGGGCGTAATTCAATTTATAGCAAACCAGGAGAAAATTGTAGCCAACATTTTATTTATATATATATATATGTATATATTTCGCTATGGTTTGGCTCATTTTTATTTATTGACTGTTTCTGTATGTGCGTGGTATGCGTTAAATTCCAATTAAATATTTCAATGGCAGCCCAATCGGATCTGTGTTCGTTCCCTCTGTTTTTTGTGCCGGCTTTTCCCAAATTGTATTTTCTATCAAGATGTATTAATCCACTTCCCTTGGCCGCCCATTTTTGCTCCTCGGGCTCCAAGATTCCTACTCCGGAAGTTTTGGCAACACCTACTCAAAAAATAAGAAAAGAAAAATCGAGAAGGAAACAGGAAAGCTGGAAGAAATGTAAGTAGACAAAGTTCCTTTTGGCCAAAGCTCCTCCATGCGATGCCTTCTGCTCCTCCTGCTCCTCCCTATTTTATTTAGCGCTTTTGGCCATGTCTCTCTCTCTCTGTGCGGTTGGGCCAAAGTTATATTGGTTTGCGTGACTCTCAACAAAAGTGAAATAACAATTGCAACAACAACAAACAGCCAGCCAGCAAGGACCCACCAAAAAAACAAATAGAAAAAAAATAAGCAACCGAGCACGGCCAGCAAAATAGAAATAAATTCTAAAGTGAAATTAGTATTTTAGTTATCCTCTGTGCCTGCTCACGAACCAACCGATGAATATAGAATAAAAACACAAAAACCAAAAAAAAATTGAGCACCTGAAGAATTTTCAGGTGGTTCGCCTCGCTTCGGTGGTTACTCAATATGGATTGTGCAATGTGGCTTCGAGGAGTACTCAAAAAGTGCTTAGGCATTGACTGAGGGGAGAATATTTGTGAAATGGGCAGAGGCAAGGTGCTTGTAAATTGCTGTTTTGCGGGTTTTTCCAATCGAGGTGAGTCGGAAGTTTTTCGCCCAAGAAAATATGATAATTGGAGGTGGCAGAAGCAGCAAGGGAATCTCCAAGGAGATATACCTGTGACGAGTGTCTAGGAAATTGGCTAATGAAGAATGTTTTTCGGGGGCAATCAAAGAGGCTATAATAACCAGAGAAATATGCTAATAAATCAGTCAGGATGTTAGATTCATTTAACTAAGATTATGATATATTCAAGATATAAAATAATTGAAATATGCTCCAGAAATGATTCTACTTTCAATGCTGAACACAAATCTGCTCATAAAACCTAACTTAACTTTGAGTGATCCTGAATTTTCTTTTTCCCTTCAATTCTAGCTATAAAAATAACTCTTCGATTACCCCTCGCTGCAACTATATCCACAATGAACTGGCAGTGGCAGCACCTAACCTTTGGCTCTCTGAATTATTTAGTTGCTTGGCTGGAAAGTTTTGAGCTTTCCACTTTTATTTCGACTACAGACACATGCCAAGTATTTCCAATTGTTTGATTTGGATGCGTGCCTGGTGTGTGTCCATGTCCGGCCAAACGCCAAATTTAAAATTAAAATCTATTTGTGAGCGATTTGGAGCAGTTGAATGGGGGAAAAAAGGACTCGAACTGGGACTGGGGTAGAGAGAGCCTTGTTGCCATATTGCCTGACAGACGACAGACAGGCTCGTATTAAAAACTGTGACGATATAAACTTTCATGGTGGATAAAAGGTAGTTAAATTGCTGTGTGTCTGAGTAGAGGATTTATCCCCATTGTTTGTTGTTACAGCAGACACAATACTCCCACTCTCCCCGACAGCAAACAGCCCCATAGCTAAACCGCATTTGGACAAGCCGGGCAAAGTCATAAGCTTTTGTTTTACTGGCCCCACCAATGCGGTTGGATCTGCCGCTTCGCCCGGCAATCTCATAAATTGCATGACATGAGTTGCATACAACATAGCATAACATATATGTAGATACCATATCCATATATGTATGGAAAGTTCTTCTCATCGCTCTTGCCGCATAAAATATACAAAAGGGCAGCAGATGCACAGTCGATATATACACATTTAAGCTGGGGTTAGGGCAGAACCCCCTTTTGTTTCGGGGGCGGAATGTATATAGGAAAAGGGTATGGTACTTACCAATTGACAATATGCCGGCATCGTTGGGTCGCAGGACGTGCGTAAAGTAGATTTTCAAACCCGAATTATCCGCCATTTGTCTGGCATGCAATTGGGCAAAGTCCGGCTTCAAATTGTTGTAATGGGTCTCCATTAAATAATATTTGGCCTGTCGCGACTCAATAGGATAGCCGGCCTCGTGTGGATACGTAAAGCCCTAAAAGGACGAAAAAATATGACAACGGCAAAAAAATAAAGGGGGGAAAAGAATATGTCGAGTGTTTGTTTTTATACTCGCACACACACACACACACGGGAGAAGTGTATACATATACTTGGGCTGAACGGAAGTTGATGCCATGGCCATGTGCAATTTAAATGCAGCCAGGGTGAAGCTCCTCCTGCTCCTCCTCCTCCTTGATTCCCATCTCATCCATTGCCATTCAATTGCATTGCGGAACGCCCCACGGCGGACAGCAGCCATAACATGCCACTGCATTATGGCGCTCTTCTGATGAAATTATGAAAAACCCTTATCCTCCAATCCAGCCCCAGAGCTCAATGGAGGAGGGAGTGCAGTGCAGAGCTGAGAAACGAAAAAAACAACAACTGACGAAGAGTTCAGGGGCCAAAAAGGGCCAAGGTATTTATTATTTCGGTGCACTCTGTCAGGACATGAGGCTTAAGGATTCGGAGAAGAAGAAAGGAACTGAGTTGAGACTGGAAAAGTATATATAATTGAAAGTATACAATATATAGGGACATATTGTAGTGAATATCATATATTAAATATGTCTTGAACCTTTCAGGTTTCTCTTTAGCTTATAGATCTCTAGTCTGAACGTTAATTATTACTCCTGATATATAGATAAATATACATATCATAGATCATCTAAAATCTTGGGATCTTGGGATCATAGGGTACCTACACCCTCTAGCAGACTCTTAGGCACTCCTAAAGTGCCGCCTTTCTTCGTGTTGAAAGGAAGCATTTGCGAAGGTTAAATTAATATTGCATGGTTATGGTTATGACGAGAATGGGCCATGGGGTATCGGTGGAATATATACACTCTTTATATATGTGTGTGTGGGGATATAGGGGGGAGATTCTGAATCCGGATGCTTACCTCGCTGCCGCGCGACCAGGAGGCGACGATGGCGTTGCATGCCAGCGGTATGGATCGGGCTCCCAGGCACTGGCGGCCCTGTTCGCGTGCCATCTCCTCCAGCTCGGCGTGGGCACCCTGGCACTCGTGCAACGTTATGTGCTGCAAGTAGTGCACGCTGGACGATGAATCATAAATCGGTTCGTACTGCGGCCATGAAAGGAAAATGAAGCAGAGACAACGGTTAGCGAGATGTGCATTGTGGGGATACAGATATATATGTATATAAGGATATGTATATGGTAGAGGCACCGAGACGGGGGGATAAATTTTTAATATTTCAATTTGGTTATGCCGAGGCCAAGAGACAACGACAACGACAGCGGACAGAATGCAGCTGAGCTGAGCGGGGGAAAGTGCAGGGAAAAGCGGGGAAAGTCTCCACAGCGACAGCTACTGGCAGACAAAAGCGGAATGCCAGAGAGAAAGCGCGATTCGCTGAGCAACTGCACTTGGCCTTAATTATGCATTGTATTTAATATCGTTTAGTCCTGCACACGGGTGAAAATGTTCAAGACGAAGGACAGAGACGGTTATTCCGACTACTAGATATCCTTTAAGACTTTAAGGATAAAGGGGGAATATCCCAAAGGATACTTGGGTACTATTTAATTGAACCTGCTTACCCGTATCAGGTGATGCTTGCGATTGATATCCTCCAATTTGAACATCTTGCACCAGAAGAGCGGCAAATCACCGGCAGGAAGCTCCACATCCTCATTGCGCAGCTCCAGGACTCGCACGCGTTCATCGTGCGTGGGCGAGGGCATTGGCAGCTGGGCGCGCTGCATCATGACCATGGGACGGTAGGGTCGGAAGGCGCGTTCCGGATCCGGAAGGGTGCCCGGGCGCACAGAACCATGCGGCGGATCCTGGGCGTGGTACATGTACAGCAGGCGCATCGTATCGTTCTGCAAAAGGGAAGAGCGGATAATGTTTTGGGGAATGAGAAATGTGTAAAAAATTACTTGGTCAAGGTGGTGGGTTAAGGGTCCGAGTGCTCCTCGAAATGGCGCTATAATGGCGCGTTGCAACAACCCAGCAACAGCGGCAATAATGTCCTTGCTGACGTGTACACGGATGTACTGTCTGGCTGGGATTGCTGATGCTCCCCCAGCTTGCTAAATGAAGTGCACACACATACACAAAAAGAGGAAAAAGGAAGTGGAAAATGGGAGTTCTCGTAACAAACAGGGCAGGAAGGAAGCAAGGATGTTTGCCTGTGGGCAGAGTAGCATCAGCAGCAGGACGAGAAACGTGGCCAGGTGGATGTTTGGTCAGCTGCCGTTGGAAGCTAAAGTCGGAGGTTCCCATTGTCGATGGTGGGTTAATGGTGCAAATTGCAGTGCACCACGGAACACGTTGCCGCACTTCACCCGGAACGAGAACGTGGGGTTCCGGTGCCTTCCCTTACTTCACTATTCCCTGGCCAAAAAAAGCAACTTTCTCTCGCAGTTCTCTCTCGTAGTGACCGCATTTCATTTATTTAATTCCCATTTAACAAATTAATTCCGTTGCGCTTATGGGCCAGCAGCCGCGTTGCCAAATTTCACTGGCAGGACCAAGGCCAGGACCAGGACTCCGCTGTACTTGAGCTGTCCGTGCTTGAATTTTAGCCGAATTACATTCTCTCCCGCCGGCCCTGGTGCAATTTTCAGTCCACAATGGGCATCTTTGGGCAACCAATTTACACTTCAAGTGGGGCGCCAACCCCCGGACATTCGTCTAGCTCTTTGCCCTTTTTGGCAGGGGTTTCCCCCAGAGTGAGATAGAGTGGGGGCCTTGCATGTATTTTTCATTTGCCACGTAGTTTTAATTGGTAAACCCGAAAATTAAAGCAGTCATTAAGGAATCACGGTGCTTTGCCACTGCCACTTCTGCTCACCTCTGACCCTTGGCTATCTGCTGCTCTTGCTGTTCTTGCTTCTGCTACCCCTTTGTGGACGCCTATGTCCTTGGGGGCTTTTGGAAGCCAACAGTCAGCTGTCATTGTATGCACGTCATGTCCACGTGAGTGTGTGTATGTGTGTGTGAAACAACAATAACAACACATGTAGCACTCTGAGAGAGAGTGAGTGTGTGTGTGTGCCCGTGCAGTGCAGTGGGAGAAAAAAAAAGAACCAACGTCGGGGGCATCCATTTGAATTCATTGTGGCAAAGTGCCCATTGTAGCTGTTAAGTGGAACTGTAGAGTACCATGTTCGACAATTGACGGCCCAGGACGAGCAGCTCTGAGGGAGGGGTCAGGCCAGGTCCTTGTTTCAGCTTGTTCATTTTGCCAGCCTGGGCAGTCAGGCAGCCAACGAGGAGACAATACTTTAATTAACAATTCCCTTTCCCCCCGCCTAGCCACCGACGGGGTGTAGAGTGTGTAAAAAACCTGTACAAATGAGTCGGTTGTCCTGGTTGTCCTGGCAAACACTGCGGGCGGTGGCCAGCGCGGCGCACTAACCGCCCGGCAATCGCCAGGAACAACAACCCACAATAACAGCCGAAGCACAGCACAACAAAAACTGCTGGCCAGTTTTAAAACATTTGGCCAGGCCAGGCCAGGCGGCAAAAGCGGAGACAGAAGCAACAGAAGCGCGGGGACAGGCACAAAAGTCATTAACGCTGAGGCTACCGAAGCTGACTGGGCCTGGACATGGCCCAGATGTAAAAACATGACCACTGTGGCAAAAAACTCAACGGTCGCCTCCACGGCAACAATGGGGAAAAAATGGGAGGCCTTCCATAGACTACTACTACTACTACTACTACTACTGCTACTGTTACTCTCCGGACTCCGGAGTGACCTGTAAATTGTTTAATTTGCACTCTGAAAAGGGTTTGGGCGATTGGTATTTTTGCGCAAAAAACCTGCGAAACAATAGGGTTTGGCTGAGAGCTCATCAAAGCGCCACCTATGGCTGACTGATCAAAGTTAAAGCGGAGAGTTAAAAAGGGGAGGGGTTAAAGTGGGGGTTAAAGTGGGGGTTAAAGTGGCGGTTAGCTAAAGGGGGGGGGGGGTTAAATGGAAACTGTAATTATTGAGTAGCTAGGAAACAACTTCCCTTAAATGGTGTGTTTATCGATTTGGTTTTGCTGATTTAGCTTTTAATTGCACAACACTTTTTTGCAAAGGAGAGGAAATAACAAAGCAAACAAGGATTTGATTGAGAGATCAAAAGCAAAGAGTAATTAGAGAAGTAACCAGTAGTTAATTGGTTGTTCTCCTTGAAAGTAAGCTCCTGAATCATAAACAAACCTTAATTTTTAATATTCCATCGATAAGAAATTCCCAGTTGAATTTTTCCAAATGAAAACCCTTTTAAATTAGTCTAGCCTTTAGCTAAAAAACTGAGATTAAAGTAACAATAACATGGACTTGGAAGATTTGCTATTGCCCGGAACCCATTAAGCCCTTGCCAGGTACTGGGAAGCCACACTATGTCTGTGTGTTTGTGTGTGTGTAATATCCAAGTGTGAAAAAGTGTGCACCGAACTATGCACACGCATACGACAAGGATGACGAGAAGGATTCCGGAAAAAGCCGGAGACGGAGCCGTAGTCCTTGTGGAACAACAACGGCAACAACTGCGAGGCGAAAACTAAAATGAAATGAAAAGCTTCAGCAAGGATTACAACCAAAAATTAATGAAAGCAAACTGGCTGCGGTCATTTGCCGTGGTCAACGGTCGGCCAAGGCTTAATTGCCAAAGACGATGACGATGACGATGTTGTGGACACAGAGTGGAGGCAGAGGACTAAAGGGGGACTGTGAGTGTGGTCAAGAATACAGGTTACACTTTAGTGACTGCCGCAGGAGGGGAGTGACTGCCCAGAAGGACTTTGGACTGGGACGGGACTCGAACTGGGCTCGAGGCTAATTGTGAATGCGGCGGGGACTCGAATTCAGACTTGGACGACTCATTAGAGTGGCTTTGGTTACGGCCCAAAAAACCTGCGAGGGTTGCAGGACTCACTCGCAGCCAGGACTCACCAGTACACAGCCTCGGAACAGAACGCTCGACTGAGCCTGACTGCCTGCCTGGTTAAGTGCACTCTAAAGGTCATTTAACCTCTGACTGGGCGGGTTTTCAATGTTCTCAACGCATCAAGGGGTGGCTTTGCAGTCGCTGGCGACTTTTTGGCCCTGCTCACATTCAATTAAGCCACGTTAAGCCCAGCTGCAGGCGTAGACGCAAAAGATTTGATGTGGTTATTTGGGGATTTTTGGAAAGAACTAAAAATAATCTTGGCAAAGGAAATTCACTCGAAAATAATGATTCAGGAAAGATTCTAGTAAAAATTCCCTCATAATATCTTTCTCTACAGAAAAATGCTTTCAATTGTGGCTAAAAGTAACGTCGGAACTGTTTTCTTTATTGGCACAAACTTCACTTGCAAATCACTTTAGTTTGTTTCTCATTTTTTTGCGCCCCGCAGCAGCATGCTGCCAGCTCTGCTCTCATTCGTTCACACATTGCACCTTTAAGAGCCATTTGTAGTAGTTGTTAATGGCATTGTTATCCTGGTTGCAGTCTCGTGCTTCTCGAGCGTTTTATTGTTTTCTTTTGCCCACTTTCCTTTTGCCATTTCAACGCGTTGCCATAATGGGCCAATTGTCCTTAAATGCGGAGCGTGTTCCGCTCGCTAAGTTGGCTCTGGCCTCTGGTCCCTGGTCCCTGGTCCCTGGCTCCAGACTCCGGCCGCAGTGGCCGTGGTAATGGCCATGGCCCTGGACCTGGCCAAGACCAGGGCCAGTGGTCAAGTCGGAGTCCGAAAACTTTGTCTGTGCTGGCCCCTGTTTAATGTGCACGTAATTGAAATGCATTTACAATTGAATTATAAACAGAGCAAACAAATGCGGCACCAGGCACTCGCACATACATTTACATGAATTCACACTTGAAACTGGGAAAGTGCGGGGGATTCGGGGGAGTAACAGGGGTTGGGAGGGGATATTGCCAACTTGCATTGTGCAAACTTTCAGTTCGCAGCTCAGGCAGCAGCTGAGCTCAAAACTCGAGGTCCTTGCGCTTCGCTTCGTGCTCTTCTTTTGCCTCGCAATCGGCAATCAAATCAACCGTTCCCCAGGAGTCCGTGTCCTTTCTACATATTCCTATACATGTGTGTGTGTGTGTGTGTGTGTCTATGCCTGTCTCTGTTTGTGCTTGTGTAAGTGCATTAGGGTGAGTCTTAGAAGTCTTTCGGAATTTTTAAAGATTTTTTTAGAGCATAGTTTCCTTGCATTCGCAATGGTTTTAAAAAATATTAATCATACGCACTGTGAACCATAGCACTATTTTTAGCCAAAATTGCATTTTTCCCTTCTTAAATGTCTTTAGGGATTTTTAAGAATATTTTACTATATAATTAGCATCGTTTTCTAGTTTAAAATGTAGGTTTTACAAAATATTACTCATACGCAGTTTTGGCCTGAAACTGTTTTGTACTTTTATTTCTGTATTTTTATTTTTTGACACCTTTGTTAAGACTCCTTATGGATTTTTAAAGATTTTAAAGGGAATAAATAGCATAGTTTGCATGTTTTCGTACTAATTTTAAGTCATATTACTCATACGCAATGTTGCACATAGAACTATTTGTTTCCAACTTGTATTTATTTCCTTCTTAAAAGTCTTTAGGAATTTTTAAGAATATTATATATTATATTAGCATATAATAAGCATTTGTTTCTAGCCTAAAATATGGGTTTTACAGAATATTACTCATACGCAATGCTGCACATAGAAATATTTGTTCTTGACTTATATTTTTTTCTTTCTTTAAAGTCTTAAATTCTCTTAAAGATTATTTCAAAATATTTTACAATATAATTAGGATCGTTTTCTAGCCCAAAAGATGGATTTTACGAAATATTACTCATACGCAGTGTTGACCATTTAACTATTTCTTTACTTTTATT